TTGAACTGTTACTACGAGGCGTACCAGCACACAGCAGGGAGTGAAGAGAGGTTTGCGGTGGCTCGTGTCATCACTGACATCATGCACAGTAGACCACATCTGGACCTGAAGCAGGACTACTTTGTTCAGGTCTACAGAGCAGAGATCGACTGCCTGCAGAGCCACCAGCAGCTGATCAGAAACATCTGGACCATCAGGTAAATAATCTGTGAGGATTTCATTCACTGTGCAGATCACAGCGGTATACAGTATTTCTGCTGTTTAAGTTAAAGATGCAATATATAGTTGATCAAACAAAATATAATGAGGATCAGTTTCGCTCAGTTGTTTCAATCATTTTCCAAAACAAACTGAGCAAAAGATTTATCACTTCCAAGCTCTGCATTATTCACTATTATTTATGTATTTGGTCATATATAAAAGATCATTTAATTTGTTTATGTTAAAAAAATGTTGATCTAAGAAAACAAGTGATTTGAAGACTTTTCTCTTGGCTTCACTTTAACATTAAATCGAAAAAACAAAACAAATCAGAAGATCATTTAATCTTGTCAGTAACTCATCGTTTCATTACTTTAAAAATAACTATTTGTAAAGACTATTTGTGTTTATGTCATTTACACTTTATGTAATTCTGTGCGTAGGTTGCATTGTGAAGATCGTGTTATTTGTCTCATCAGATTGATAAACAGCGGCAGTACCTCCAACGCATCTGGAGAGATGACCACAAAGGCTCTTCTTATGATTATGGTCTTCTACCAAACTTCACCCCGAAACATCAGGTCTCACTCGGAGGCAGCAGGCGAGTTTATCGCACTTTAAGTGTTAAGTTTTTATCCTGCAAAAGTGCATTAGTTTGTGGTCTTGCAGCTCTATAATTACCTACATGTGTGTGTATTTTCAGACCTGCACTGTTGAACGTGTTCCTGCTTGAGCTTCATCCGTCTCTCGGCCTTGCCTCTGCGGTCTATCACGGTTTGGTTCAGGCTCACTCTGAGCTCTGTCATCTGCATCGAGCAACAAGCAGCACTCACAAACTCCGCCTGCGACAGAAGCTGCTGCGGCAGGCTCTGCAGAGCTGGAGAGACCTGCCTCCACCTGGAGCCTCCTACAGTGCTCAGATACAGAAGGATGTGGGTTTTCTTCTCTTAAGAATCTCTGAAAATCAATTTACCTAGAATAAAAAACCAAAAAAATGTGGCCAACTCGTTTTTGTCCACTCTCAGTTGTTTTCAGATGTGTTTTTCGAGGACCCCTTCCTGCTCCAGAATGTGGGACTGACTTTAGTGAGATCTGCAGAGGAGAGAGAGATGATGCAGGGTCAAGAGAAACAGGCGTACGCTGTGGAAACTTTCTCCAAGCTGTTGGAGCTCGTCACAGTCCGCCATCGTCTGCTGGAGTCGGCCTCAGAGACGGCAAACCTGGCACAGTTAAGATAACACTCACAGCTTGAGGACATGTGCTCTTGATAAGACTGGACTGATTGATTTGAGTACATGTATAGTTCAATCTTTGCTTAAATTAAACTGAGACAGTAGAAGAGAACACCTTGTAGGGGCTTGAAAATAATCCTCATACATACAATCCAAGGCTTTGGTCAAAATTAGATTTGAACATTTTAAATAAAATCATAACAACACAATTGATGCATTGTTTATAAAAAGGTCTTTTGGCTAGATAATTGGAAATAAATACAGTTTATTATAATATTTGACTGCAATGTATCACTTGTTGTGTGGGTCCTGGGGGGGCTCAGCTTTTCTTATACAGTTAGGAGTTGGAAAAAAAGGTTTGGAACCACTCTTCTATGGCAATGACAGAATTGGACCTCCTGTAATTTAAACACAGTTAATGTTTAAAGTAAATCACTTTTCAGTCTTCCCTGAGCGCAATACTGTGTGCAGCATGTTAAAATATCCCGTTTTCCTATTTTGTTTTGCATATGTATTAAACTCAGCATCATATCAGACTGTAACATTTTCTCATTATTCTCAGGTTGTACAGAAACGTGGCTTCAGAGCTCGGCTTCGATGAATTCCACCTTTACCTCAGGCCGCTGCAGTTTGAGGTCGCTGAGCAGAAACTCAAAACAGAGCAGAGTCCAGTTTTCATCACAGCCATACTGGAGGATGACAGCTGTGTGGACAGGTTCATAACTATTCTGTTCTGTTGCCATTATCAAAATCTTTTATAAATATTATACTTCAGTCCGTTTGTAGTTCTAGTATCGTGAAGACGATTTGTTTCAGAGGTAAACAATAATTACTGTACATGTTTCCCCTCTTAGCTTCTGCCTTTCTGTACTCTATTGAAACTGATTTTTTTATCAAAGCAGTCTGTTTGAAGTCTGCCTTGAAAGGGGTTTTAAAGTGCTCTCTCTGCTGCAGGTTCATCCCGTCGCACCTGCGTCTGAGCATCCAGGAACTGGACGAGAACCAGATCGGGAGGTTCAGCTTCAGCTCCGAGGAGTCAGTCACTCATGTGCGTCTAAATAAAATAAAGAAATGAATAACTTGAATTGTAAACCATCCTTTGAATCACTGAATAGACTCTTTTGTCTCTCTTCAGCTTCTGAACAGACACAGTTTAGAAAACCTGCAGGTGACTCTGGCCTGTCAGGTCACACAGAAGAACGCTCTGATGAGTGCAGTGAAGCTGGTTTGTCTTTGTCACTGGGCAGAAAGTGAAACGTCTCCAGCTGAGGTTTGTGTGGTTGGTTAAATGTAACCCGGTACACTTCTTTGCTACATTCATCTGACATCTGTAGTTACTGATCAAGATCAGTTTGATCTTATGAGAACATGACACAGTTCTTAAACTTGTCTCAATAGCAACTACATTTTTAAAAGATTATTACTTTTATTTCCATGCGGCTCTTTTTGTTGTGTTCTCTCTGTATTAAAGCTGTTTCTAGTTTGGGCCCCTTGTCACATTTAGATAAGTGGTTTGCAGTTCCACCAATGAAACCTTTACACTCAGTATTCAGAGACAAAGACAAAGCAAAGATTAGAAAAAACAAACAAAGTTTTCATTTTCTTCTTTCTCTTATTAATAATTGTACGACTGCACAGGTTCAGCTTCTGACCCTGAGAGAGGTAAGGAACCACAGACCAATTCTTAGTCTCGTTGTATCCCGTCATTTGTTGCAATTGAGGCTCTCAGTTCAATTTAATTCAACCCACAACAAGCTAACAAATAATGTCACATATTTTTTATGTGCATTTTGTATTCCTGTTGCTGTTTTTTAAAGTGGACCCAGGAAGAATAGCTAAGCTCTAACGTACAGCTTATGGGGATCCTGACAAATCAATGAATACACAAATATTGCATAAAACATCACCCACAATAATGCAGAACAAGGACTTACTCTTTTAGTTTGAAATGGTAATGGAGAATGTTCACATGAATTCAAAGAAACTTTTACTAAAGTATTGGATCACAATTCTTCTTTAACCAATGGTTTTGTTTCCTTCACATAAATGAACTGCTCTTAACGCGTTCTTTTTTTCATTTGATTTCAGAGTGAAAGAGTTGATGTTCTTTCTGATAAAAATGTGAAATTTGACTCCAAACCTGGAAGCAACATGAAGAACTCCTCACCCTCTAAAGGCTCGGGCAGAAGTCCGGCCACATTGAAAAAGAGGTACTTACATTTTCCCACTTAGAGAACAAAAGAATAAGATCTTTCTGTACTGTTGTTCCTACTCTTCAATAAACATAATCTTGTGGTTTCTTCAGGCTGATGGAAGCCTTTGTGTCCATCCAGCTGGAAAAATGTGGTCTGCGTGACGAGATGCTGAACTCATTTATGGAGAAGAAACGAGCCATGGGGGGTCTCATAAAAACTCCTGTGAGTTGAACACGTTGGTGGATTTTCAGGCGGCTGAGCAGAGCGATGAATGTGATTGGCTGTCCATGAAGTAAATGTATTCTTCCTTCATTGCAGGAGGAAGCTGCAAAGATCAAAAGGAGGCTCATAATCGACTTCCTCAATAAGTATGTCCAGGAGTTTGTGTTTCTTTCTTTTTAAAAACAACAAACAATATTTTATACTTACTCTGGATAAGATCACTTTTAAACTTAACCCTGTGTTGGCCGGTTTCTTTGCAGATTCAGCAAACAGATATCTCAGTATTGTGTGAGAGCACAGATTGTTGCATATTACTCCAGTCTGAGCTCAATTTTAGAGGAAGTCCCGTCTGTTCGTCAGTCCCACTTCATGATTGGGCAAGCAAGCGATCCCGGAGACCCTTGCTCTGATCCTAGGTACGTCCAGTTTGAATTTGAAGAAATTATAAAAGTGCAAAAAAAAAAAAAAAGTATTATTAAATGAACATTGCATTAGTCTTGTTTGTGCACTGACTCCAAACAACAACACACAGCCTTACAAAGGACATCAACAGCAGGCAGTGGGGGACAGTCTCGACTGGATCTGAATGCAGAGGGACCTTTGTTTTGTTTTCTTGTACAGTTTTATCAAAAATTTGGGAAACGGAAAGGGCACTCTGGATATTTTGTTGAAACATGGGGGCATCATGTGTTCCCCCGACTAAGCATCAAATAGTTAAAGTTCAAGTTTTATCATCGACACAGGGTCAAAGTGAATGAAAGTGTTTAACACTCTACATCTGTTGGCAGAAAATATTAAACTGAAAAGAAATAATGAAAATGCAATAGGCTGACTAAAATATGACATTGTTTGCACGAGTTAAAAAGAGGATTGAAGTATCACACAGTGGTGAATTCTTCAGTTCCGATACAGAAGTACAACTTAAAGAGAGCAGGTAAACAGTTATACATTGCAGAATAAATAGCTTGGTGACTTGAGAAGCCCTGAGGGCGTGTTGGTGTTACCTGCACCTGAGTGAGGTTGTAGGTGCAGCTTCACTTCTGTGTCACCTGCCACAGACTGAGAGCTTGGCTGGGCCGTCTGAGGACCCTGCGAAAAATGTTGATCTAGTATACAAGCGACGCAAAAACCAGATCGTAAAATGAGATACATGGTACAGTGTTCATCCTTTCTCTCAAACAGGACCTCTCGGTGTCAGCAGCAGCTCTTGTCTGCAGACGGCAAAACTCTCCAAAACTTGTGGTTTGTCCCTCACTTCTCTGAAGTCCTGCACATGTTCAAAACACTTCATGTATCGGTAAGAGCCCTAAACACCTCGTTTGAATATAGCAGTCAACACATGATACATTTAGCTGCTTTCACTGTCATGTTTCCTCAAAGACTATAAATCCTTTTGGCTGAGCATTTTCAGTATTTTATAACTTTTATGGAACAACAACAACATGTGTTGGTTTTATTCATTTTCACGTAATTATTAGAGTTGAAACTTCTGGATTTTCTTTTTCGTGTGTGGTTTAATACATCACTCCTATATTGTTCTTATTCCAACAGGCCTGTGCTGCAGCTCTCCATCACACGCTGCAGATAGCGTCAGCTCTTCATGACATCATGTATTACCTGGTTAGTTTCTCCAGACTGGGAAACATAGATGAGTCGTTCAGCTGCAGGAGAGGAGAGGAAGCAGCGGGCTCTCTTTCAGCTGACTGGGGAGGAGCTGAAGGCATTGGTATTAAGAATGTTGTAATGAAGCATTGCACTTTCCTAAATGTTTTCTCTTTAACGTTACCTAACTTAACCAGAGTAACTTACCCGGTGCTTCTTCTAATCATCTGCACGGATCTGAACTGTATAAATGCTTTAACCTTGACCTGCTGCAGGCTCAGTTTAATCTTGTTTTAAAGTTGTAAAGTTCACACAAAAATTGACCTGGCTACATTCAGTGTCTAATGAAGGACTGATATAAATCCAGTATGTTGAGAGTCAGTCCCAGTAATCCCAGAATGTGTGTGCCATCGTCTGTGGTTTCTGTACAGGAGCAGAGCTGCAGGAGCTCCAGCATCAGGTCAGCTGTCTGTCTGATCCCAGCAGTCCGCAGTCTGTCAGCCGTGTGCTGCAGCTGCGCAGGAACGTCCTCCTGCTGCAGTTTGATACGGCTGTGAGACACCTCATCAGGTCAGTGTGGAGCGGTGTCTTTCATTTTTTATTTTTTAAGTTGTGGACATGAGGCTATCCAGCGCCCCATGTTTTCAGTTTTAATGGACAGTTTGTCCATCAAGTGACTCTGAGGAGTAAAAACATTTCTTATGTAGACAAGTCCATCTGTCTGTTGTTGCCATTTTGAACTATAAAACTTTATAGACTAATAACTTTATAGAGAACCATTTTAAAACAACATTCACAATGTGCTTTCCATAAAACATACAAACAATAATTAACAAGAACGTTAGTTATATGTAATAAGTTAGTTATATGTGATTTAGAAAAGTACAGCTGAAATCACATCATATTTCTGTGGTGCCTTTGTCCTTTTATGAATTCTACTGTCTCCAGGGGACATCAAAAATTCAGTTTGGTCTTTGTACAAGTCCTACTAAGCAGTGTTATTGGACAGTTTAAATGCTACATTTAAAGTAATTACCTTTTAAGACCATTAAGTCCAACATCCAACCAGCTGGGGACTTGTGTGTCATTTAACCTCTGCACTATCAACAAATTGTACCGCACGACACAAAACATAGTAAAATGTATCTTGTACCTTTCTTTGTGCGATGTTTCCTTCGTTTTCAGGGAGATATTCCTCTCCTCTGGCGACGTTGCTTCTTATCAGAGTGTCAGCGACAACATGGTGACTGCCCTCTCTCTGCTGAGCAACAGCATCCAGTCCCACCTGATCAGTCTCACGCTGCCTGTCCCCCCTCCTCTACAGACCCCAGGCTGTCAGGTGGGTTTAATGAACTTCTGAATGTTCTCATTTGTGCTCCCACTTCTCTTCATCGCTTTGTCTTCTTCCTCCTGATTGTCCTCTGAATTTCCACCCTGCGTCTCATCAATGTTTTCTGCCAACTTATCAGCCTCAATGTGGGTTTTTGTGATGTCAGGGAGAAAGCTATGCTCTCACATCTGTTTTGGTAAGAATTTGATTTTTGTATATTTTATGCGTGTTGTCGTCCCCCTGCAGGCACAGAAGATGTATCCCTGGAGAAGTTTCCTGGCCTGTCATGGATTGTTCCCTCTGCGTGTTTGCGACGTTCCTCCCATCGAATACTGCATGCAGGTTGAACAAATAATCTATTTTTCTGTTCATGATGTCAGCTAAGGGGGGTCTAATTTGATCAATATATGTCCATGAACATACTGTATGTTGACATTTTAACTTTGATTCCCTAGGCTGGGGAACCTGCAAGTGTCTTTATAACTTCAAATTACTCTCAACATCACCTGAATTGTTTAATGTCAACAAATAAAGAACAATTGTAGATAAAACACGTGATGTTTGTTTATCTGCAGCTGTGTCTGAGCGGTCTGAGTGATCGCAGCAGACTGCAGGCCAACGCAGCGATCCTTGGTGTGTCTCTGCTCCTGGAGGACGTCCTGAACAGCGGACAAGAGGCAGAGCCTGTTCGTCTCCATGGCAACAAGGAAGACCTTCTGCGCAATGGAAAACAAGAAGTAAAGTCTTGTTTTTAAGCGGTTATTGCAAAGGATTATCTGTACTAACAGGGATGACTCCTTTATTATGTCTGCAAGACTTAGTTTGGTCTGTGTTGTAGGAGGATAAACTCTGCACAGAAACTGAAGAAGAAGAAGAAGAAGAAGAAGAAGGCTTCTGTGTCGGAGTCCCCTCCTCTTCTGCAGGGTCCGATCCGGGTCCAGTCCGTGTTGAGAGGTTTCCTCCTGCTGATGAAGCAGCTGCAGGTGTTTAAGGAGAGCTGGGCTCGGACACATCTGGGTGTTCAAGTGTTCACAATGCCCAGTTTGTATCAACAGTTTGTTAAACTCTACAGGTACAAGATACATCAGAGAGCCAAGTATAAGTGTGCTTAGCTATTGTTGATCTATATATCAGCTAGAGAGTGTTATCAAAGAAACAAATACTACTTTGTCATAATGTTGTACTGCTAATAATGATGTCCTGATTTCATCTGTTTCGTTTTTTTAAAAGGTTTTTGTTTCCTTCTTTCCTTTATGATAAAAAAGTTCAAAGTCAAAACGTGTAATTCTACATTATAAAGTGAGGGACAAAGAGAAGATCATGGAATATGATGACAAACTCCATACAAGTGTTATTAGCGTCACAGTTTAATCCCATATTCAAACTGGCTGTACTTTACAGAGCAGAAATCTTTTACCCCAGTATGAGAGCTCTGGCTCGACACATGGGGAAAGAGCAGGACTACGAGGTGTTACTTTCTGGCAGCCAGTCGCTCCTGCCTCCACCTGGAGCTTCAGAGGTAGATGTGAAAACCTGGCAGGTACAGTACACCTACTTACTGCATAACTTACTACCTTGTGTGTTTGCAACAAGACATCATTACAAATTTCACGCTCCCTGTCTGTTATTCAGCTCCACAAGCTGCTGGAGAGCACTGAGTGTGACATGATCCGAGCGGTGCAGAGGAGGATCAGCAGAGAGACGACTCTGGTGATTTCAGAGAGAACTCGACACGACACAAGACTCCCCACAGGTACACACACACACACACACACACACACACACATACACATTTCACTGTGAATTTATCCTGAACAGAAACTTGCATCATACTAACAATTCTCTGTGTGCGGTCAGATCTTTGGAGGACTTCCTCTGTGAAGTACAGTTTCTCTTCTGAGCGTCCGCAGATGGTGGAAACGTTTATACAGCAGCTCATGGAGGGAGCGGAAGAAGCTGAGGGAAAGGTGACCTGCTGCACAATAACTGAATTTAGTATCCTTATTATTGTTGAAATACATGGAAATTTTTTTTTTCTTATAATAGATATATATGGTCATTGAAGAAACACGTAATGTCTTCAATTCTACAATTCACTTAGCAGACGCTTTTATCCAAAGCGACGGACATTAGAGAGTAAGTACAACACAAGGAAGAATCTATGAAGAAGGAAACAATGTCAGCATGACAAAGCTGCTGTCGATGGTTATATGATCAGTGATGTATGACGTCAGTCTGCAGTTAATCTGCTTCAGTTGTTTTTCTGTGAGTAATTCATTGAAATGAACACATTATTTATGTGAATACACACCATCATGGACAACCAGCCCTGGAGATTGCAGTACATATTATTCTAGATTAATATGCAGAGTAATAAAACTCCAGATTGTCTCCTGTTCCAGCTGCGTGTCTCTCAGGATCGCCTCCAGCAGAGTCTCACTCAGCTCAGCTGCTCTGTGATGGAGCGAGAGCGTCGCAGCTTCCTGCTTCACTCACAGTTTTATGAACAGATCCTCCGGCGGGAGACTCAGCTGCTGTATCACACAGAACAGGTACCCCATCATTTGATGCAGGCTGTTATTGGCAACAAGTTCATGGATCTATGGCTTACAGAATCATAACATTACTATAGTGTTCTTTAATGTGCTGTATGATTTATTTGTATTTTTAACCTCAGGATTTAAAGCATCTTCAGACCTCTCAGACCAGCAGCTCTCAAAAAGAGGTAACTCCTGTAATTACACCTCACTCTGTGGGTCACAAAAGACCAGTAGGAAAAATATATTTGAATAAGTGATGCAAAATAAGAATTCTGTTTCTGATGCTGAATAAATCTTAATTTTAAGATTTTACTCTCTCAGTGGTTTTGTGCAGAGCTGATATGTGGGTGGCTTCATGACGCCAGACGAGAGGTCTCCAGGCTGCAGACACATAGCTGCAGACTTGAGACCTCTTGTCTCATGCCATCCTGTCTCATGCTCTCTCGTCTCATGCCCTTTCTCTTCCAGGGGCTCTGGACGTGAGGGCATGAGACGAGAGGCTCCAGGCTGCAGACATACACAAAGTTGGAGCCATACCTTACTTCTTTGTGCATGAATGACCTCAGTAAACATTCCTGTGCCGTGTTGCTGCTCTACAGGTGTCTGATGAGTGTCGTGGGCTGATGTTGGAGGTCTCGGCGCTGCAGGCTCAGGTCGCTCACCTGGAGGAGCGGAAAAGAGCTCAAGAGGAGAGACTCAGTCTGAAATTCAGAGAACGATACGCACCTCTGGTGCGACATCTCTGCTCCACCTGCATCCAGCTACAGGCGAGAACATTTAAACTATATGTTGAAGCATTTTATCCAAATGATGGGTGAAGGTGCATCATCACAGATTTTTAATATTTGATTCAAGGCATTTTTATTTATTTTCAACATTTTTCTCAAATTCTCTAAATGTAATCTTCAAATTTAGAGGATTATGTGTCTCTGACTGGTTGACTGGCCTCTGGAGTCACAGTGGAAAAAAAGGTGATATATTTATATACAGAAGCTCCATCAAGTGAGGTTGCCATTTTCTCCAAGCTATTCACTTGAGGTTTTTTGTTTTAATAATTCAGTGTCCAAGGTACAAATGATTTGCCTCTTATTTACTGAGTCATTACAGCCCTCTATCTGTCCTCTGTGGCTGGGCTAATTATTTTATTGTAATGTCTGTTGATCTGTCGAGGTTGTAGATCTTCCTGCTTAGGGACCAGAGATGTAAACTAGCTTTATGCTAACTCTGGCCCAGTTGTGTTTGTTCTTGGTCCCTGTCAAATAACTTCTCAACTCAACTTTGTATCTCAGGGCAGACTTGATGAGCAGCGGCTGCAGGTGAAGCTGGATGTGAGCGAGATGGTGAGCAGAATAAGAGGCGAGGGAGTGGACCGAATGATCAAGCTGAAGAAAAAGTACGGCTGCACCAAAGACAACGATGGACTCAAGCTCACAAAGTCACAGGTACAGAATCAGAGATCTGGATTTACAAACCAAAAGACATTTATTATAGAGTAGCTCATCAGTTTTTTCATGAAAAACAGCTTTTTTGCAACTTACTACTTATGATAAAAATAACAGGATGACCCACTTACATCTTCAGATTTAGACTGCAAGTGTTTCCTCTTTTATCAGTGGCATTTGGTGGTTAATAACCAAGTCTTCTGTTTTACAACAAACAAAACACACTCTTTGTATTGCTGTACATCGACTTTAAAACCTACCTGCGTGTCTCACCTTGGTTGTTAGAAAGAAGAAGTGGATGAGTTGCAGCAGGAGAACAGGCGGCTGAGCGTCCTGATCTGTAAACTGAAGACGTTGAGCCGCTGGAGGAAGCTGGTCGACCAGGAGAAACTTCACCGACAGCTGCTTCAAGCTCAGCAGGTCAGCTGCACAATAATTAACACTCAGATACTAATTCATCAATAAACTGACCTGACCAAAGCAAAGGGGGAAAAAAAGAGTTCAAACAAAGAGAACTAAAGGAAAAGACAGCTTGAGTCATTTCTCACAGTTTCTTTTTTCAGAGTCAAAAAGGTGTAATAATTTAAAGCCATTCAGCTCTACATGTTTGATGAAAACACAGCTTGTACATATTTTTAAAATAAGAAAAGATAAACCTATATTCATCCCACAACGGAGAAATTGAAAATGTTACAACAGCAGAGAGCAGGATAGCCAGACAAGAGCTCACAGTGCACAATCAAATCAAAAAAATGAATAAATAAATGAAAATAGTTGAGGAGACTGGATCTTGTGTTACGTGTAGAGGGAGATCACCAGTCGTTGCGAGGCGCTCAGAGTGAAGATGACTGCAGAGGAGGAGGTGGTTCTCCTGCAGGAGGAGCTGGAGGCAGCGAGGAGAGAGCTGAGCTGCAGTCAGACCGAGTGCAGCCGCACCAAGAACCTGCTGGATAGGAAGGTAATTAAAGATGATCGACACGTCACTGCTACACAAAGATCAACATCGTCTTTACATTTCTGAGGAAGCATCTACTTTGTTTACAAACTCAGCATACGTTCACGTTTTGTACAAATCTTGAATAAATGGAAGAATACCTTGAATGTTTAATCTATACATGACGATTGTTTATTGCTTACCACAGTGTTTCCTACAACTGAATCATAGGAGTTGCTTAAAAAGATTTTAAAGATACCTTTTCTTTCTTTTGCCTTGTCATGTAAATATAAAAACTATAAACATTTAAGGGTTATTCCAGGTGGTTTAGGCTTTATTGGGAATGTCATGTGTAACAACTTTTAGATAATACAACTTTCCTCCAATAAACTTAGATTCATATGGAACTCCATGTATGCAATGACATCTTACATTTTCATGTTAAGCGCTGAGAGGCTAAGAAACTGTGAAGCAGGTTTGATCTCTTTAATCCCTGTTGGTACACAGACAGAGGAGCTGCGTGTGGCCCAGCATCAGTCTGCTCAGGACGCCCGCGGCCGGCAGGAGCTGGACAGTTATCGTGTGCAGAGTCTGGAACAAATGAAAGCTGACGTGGAGGACAGAGAGAGACAGCTCAGAGCGCTCAGCGAGCAGCTGGACCGAGGCAGCAGGATGAACCAGATACACAGACAACGCAGTGCCAAAGAGATCCAACAGGTGTGTGAATGATCCCCATCTGAGTAAAGTGTGCGAGTGTGTTTGTGAGAGAGAGAGAGAGAGAGAGAGAGAGAGAGAGAGAGAGAGAGAGAGTGTGTAATTTAAGGTGAAAGTGTTGAATATGTTTAAGTTTTTGTCTTCTGTAAACCACAAACCTTGACCACAAACTCTTTATTCCAGAGACTTTAGCAGGAAGGATTTTTAAACATGACTTTTATTTTCACTTCACTTAGTCATAAGGTTTAAACTGATATTAAAACTTTTTTTTAAACTTTATTTGACAATAATGGGTGAAATATACAATTTTAAATGATGTCAAATGTGTAGTTTTTTTTTTGGATGGGATCGGCCGCTCCCCCAGTGGATCCTGACCCCCACTTTTGGGAACCACTTTGCTATACAAGAAGTCAGTGGATCACCAAAGACATGAAATTCATCCTGAGGAGAACATGTCTGCACACAGTAACAAAGCTGTTAAAAATGGCTGGACTGAAGGAGTGGGCGAATCATCTTACCAATACAGCGATCCAAAAAGATATTTAAAAAGCTCAACTTTAATGTCAAACAACGACTTCATGTTTTTCTGCTGTGTTGATATAGGTGAGGGGGAAGCTGCAACAGGAGCGCAGCTTCAAACAAGAAGCCTTTCAACAGGTGGACAGACTGCAGAACCAGGTGAACGACATGGGAGCAGCTCTCAGTAGAAGCACCTCCAGCACAGGTACAAATGGACAGAATACACAGGCTGATGCAGCATCCATGTGTCTCTCCCAGTTTCTCCTGATAACTTAGTTTCACAAGAGTTTTCTCCATTTGCTGCAAAGATTTGTTTTGACGCTTCTCTCCTGATTCTGTCACAGGGCAGAGCAGGACTTATTACACGCTGTCGGTCAGCAGATTGAGTGCTACGAGTCCCTCAGCAGGTACTGAAGCTACACCACAGTCACACCTTCATCTGAGAGCAGTGAAGTGATAATCTGCTCACAAATCAAACGCCTGACTTTTATTTCGAGCTGCTCATGCGGTTCAGAAGTTAAATTAAAGCCATCATGTTTTCCAGAAACTCATAGCTTTTTGTGATGACATTTTTAAATTCCATTACAGATTATAGCTTCACCTCGCTGGGTGGAGAAGTAAAACTCGGGTTTCTGTTCTATTTCTATCTGAGGTTTACACCGGGCCGCTCAGCAGTCCGCTCTGCAGCTTGGCAGCCTCACAGACGACGCCACACTTCAGGACTTGGCTGCAGAGCAACGACAGCAGAGAGCAGAAACAGCCGGGAGCCGCTCACACACAAGAATCGAGCGACCTAAAGCCGTGAGTTAGCTGCAGAAACACAGAGGAGTAGTTTAAAAAGTTCAACCAAAGTTTAAACTCTGTGGAAGTGCCCAAAATATAAGACCTATTTTTATTTATTTTTACAAGTAGAGCTGCACGATCTAGTGGTTTACAAAACAAGACGGTGTACTGTACTGTCTGAGAATGCTTTCAAATCAGAATATTGTGATTAGAATTACATTGTGCTTTCCTAGGTGAAGCTTCTTTGAGTTGGGTATTGCTAGCAGAGAGAGTTTTTCAGTTGTCATAAGACTAAAATTTTGGGACGCCGGTGGCTTGGTGGTTGGTTCATGTGCCATATTTATGGAAGCTAGAGTGCTCAAAGTGGGCGGCGAGGGTTTGGATCAGACCTGTGGCTCCTTTTCTGCATGAGGTTCCCCACATTTCCCACTCTATCCACTGCCCTGATAAAGCCACAAAATGCCCCAAAGTAAATGTTGGCACACATAAGTTTAAGAGTGGGAACTGACATGCAGGAAAGGAGCCAACAGGGCAGATTTCAAACCGCGCTGCTCTCTCTCTTTTTAAGGACTGCAGCCTCTCTACATGGGGCACGAGAACTATCCACTATGTCATCAGCGCACCTAAATTCATTTCTGAATCTTGAATGAAAATCTCACTATGAAATAGTGTAAAATCACATCACAGGATCTTTGTCAGCAGGTGGAGCTCTGCTGTTATTTACTTATTTATTTAACTCAAGTTTGGGTTGAAATAATTCCTTCCTTAAAATAAATAATACAGTATAAATGACTGCATTTTAGCAACAACTGGGAATATAGAATTAACATTCCTTTTTGGTTGGACTTTTGAGTAAACTTTTGATCCCAAGGTCAGGGAATTTTAGAGGTGAACACATCACTACTGCTCATCAAAATGAGTTCGTGTGAGACACCAGCAAAAGTCTCTGAAACACTGAATTGACATGTAACATTGAAAAGTCGTAAATGTGTTTTGTTTGCTATCTGTCTGTCTACATAATCATCAAGTTAAACAGTAACATTGCTGTTACAGTCTGTGATAAAAACACAATCAGTGGTCACTTCAGCCTTTGTTCTTCTTCCAGGGTCCGACTCGCCTGCGTGTCCGGACTGCTGAGACGTCCTTACCAGACCTTTGAGATCTACCCCGGGGGATTTTTTCTAAACCTTGTTAAACAAGTTAGCTGCTGTTTGACATGCAGGGCGCTCTGGCTTTTCTGTGCTAGCAGCTGAATGTTAACTGATCCCAAGATTTACTGCTTTGGCAGTTATTTTCACACATGCACTCCTGGAATTGTTTTTTTTTTTGTATGTCTTGAGTTTCTTATTCACACATGACCCTCACAGCGTTAAGGTTTCCCCGTCGGACAGAAAGAGGGGTGTCCCAGGAGGCAAGACATTAAGTTAAAAAACAATCTTTTAAAGGCACTGCAAAAATCCAAGATGGTGACGAAGAAGTGTGAAAATCCGTTCACACAATGCAGGCCGGCTCAAAACTTTGGGGACATTTTCTGAAGTTTTGTACATGTTGTGAAAACACCGTATGTGAGCAGTCATGTTTATGTAATCCTTAAAGCTTAGAGATTAAATCTTGGTGATGGTTTGGCTGATTTTTATTTTTAAAAAGCGTTTTATTACAAAGTATATTTGAGAACTTCAGATTCCACAGTCGTCATTCTGTACACACACACACACACACACACACACACACACAAGTGCAGCACCAACATACTGCTTTGGTCAATAGTCCCACACCACAATGTTTTTTTCACATGTAATCCTGATTGTATAATAGTTCATATGAAAATGTGCTGTCTTAATCAAAACTATGTGTTTGATCAATACATATCCACATGCTCCTATTTTCACAAATATTGACTCCATTTTCAAGTATAGGTATCTGACTCATTCATTCATTATTCCAACCCATGGTTTTGATTCATGTCCAGCAGAGAGTGAAAATCATGAGCATGACACGGTACATAACATGTAGTTTACATTGAGTTTCCGCTCTATATTCAAGGAGTTAAGAGGTTTCTTAGATGATAGACGTGAAAGTTTGCAGGCAGACTAAAGTGTCCTCCATGCAAAATAAGACCAACTTCAATTAAGGCTCTAGTATGTTTTTGCATTTCACTGTTTATAAGAAAAAAAGAAAAGTACAAGACATATGTTGCAATGTCATGTAATTCATGTTGCTCTAAAATATCAGCTTTTTATCTTCGGACCAGACTTTGAACATCAATCTAGTCACTATGATTCTTTGAGCCTTTTTAGTGAATTTGTCAGTCTTTGCTGACAATGGGAAAGGTCTTTAATATTACTCTTAACCTTTTAAAGCTCCTGTGAAGAACTTCTTCAATGAGTTGATTTTGGTGTCTGTTCTTGCTGTTTCTGCATGGTGCTGTAAATCCTCTCGTCTAACACCTACCCTGGTGGACATTTTTAGAGATTAAAAGACAATATGGATTAAAGCCCTATTGTTGGGGATGGTCTTGTTATGTAGGTCATACATAGACATGAGTATTGATTGCAGTCTTTTTTTTTAATAACTAGTAAAATACTCATCAAAGGAGCTAAAAAAAATTTGTCTTTGACGGTGCAACTGAATGGAAACAGTGGTGTAGGTTAAAGACTCTGATGTAGATCTATAAAGACTTGACACTCTTGTTCATCAGTTACCGTGTATTAACCTGGACTGTAGCAGAATTATCAGACAGAATTTGGCACCCTTCAGTCACCCGGCTGTCTCTCAGCTCTCCTGCAGCCCGGTGGTGTACAGGTAGGACACGGTCCCGGCCTGGATCTGGAACGTCTGTCCCTGGATGTGATGGCTGGAGATCTGCTGGCTCGTCTGGCTGATGGAGATTGGCTGGCTGCTCTGGCTGCTGATGTGAATGGCCTGACTGTGTTGTTCCCTGCCCGGTGTCTCCTGAGTGACAGAAAGCTGCTGGACGGGCTGATGCATCACCTGCAGCTGCTGGACGGGTCTCTGTGCGATCTGAAGGGGCTGCGGGGGGCCGTGATGAGCCTGCAGGTGCTCCATGGCTTCTTTACTCAGCGTGATAACATGCATCTGTTCGGGCTGGTGCGTCACCTGACCCTCCAGCATGCTGATGGTCTGGATCTGAGGATTCTGGTCCACAACACCACCTTGTGTAACCAGGGACATGTTCTGAATGTTTCCTGACGACTGGGTGAGGAGGGTTAGTCTGGGGTGGGCAGATTCTGTCGTCTCTCCCTCTGTGGTGATGATGCTGATCTCCTGGTTCTGACCCGGCACAAAGTTTATATCGTCCACGTCTGCTGTGACCACCAGCTGGATCTCCTGTTCCGAGGAGGAAGGCAGCTGGTACGGCTGCAGCTGCAGGATGTTTCGCACCTCCTCCTGTGACGCTGCCGTATCCGTTTCTGCGGAGTCTGATGAGGCTTCTGTTGATGCAACTCTTTCCTTGCTGTGTGATTTGTTGTGAGTTTTCAGGTTGTCGAGGCGGGTGAACGAGAGGCTGCAGAAGGTGCAGGTGAAGGGTTTCTTCCCTGAGTGCGAGGCAACATGTCTGCGTCTAGCGCTCGGGTCTGAGAAGGATTTGTTGCAGACGTTGCAGTCGTACGGTTTCTCCCCTCTGCAAAAGGAAACTTTGATTAAAAAAAAAACACAAAACTGAGATTTTCATATTTATAATGGAACACAAAAAAAGTGTCAGAGAACTGTCAGAAAGATTCTTTCAGCTCAAAGGACTGCTTTGGTATTTTATTTGGTCTTATAGATCACCACTCCTCTATTTGGTTCACTCTCTCAGCATGCCATGTCCAACCACAGCGGGCAGTTCTCTTTTTCTTAGGATTTATTTTTGGGCTTTCGTGCCTTTATTGTAGAGATAGAACAGTGGATAGAGTTGGAAATCAGGGAGGGAGAGAGAGAGAGAGAGAGGGGGGGGGGGAAGCTAAAGATCCAACATTTTCCCTGTTAAGACCAGAAAGCCTCCAATGGTCTACATAATAATAGTACCGACAATAATATTAATTAGCCACAAGAATAAACCGGCAGACAATAGGAATGAAAAAAACAACAACTTAAAAACAATAAAAGAATATAATATGAAGACCATATCTAATCTTACTGCTGGGAGCTTGATTTCATACCTCAGGTCTAGAATAAATGTCTCACCTGTGGATTCTGATGTGAGTCTGCAGAGTGCTCTTGGCTGTGAAACACTTCCCACAAATCTCACAGGTGAACGGCTTCTCACCTGCAACGACATCTTTAATGTCAACATCTGGCAGCTGCAACTGCATCCACAGAGTCTACATATTAGTGAGTAAGGTTAGGAGCTCAAAAAAGAAATCTTCCAGTGATTTGCAGACATGTTGAAACCTTGTCAGACTTTACCTGTGTGAGTTCTCAGGTGCTTTTTCAGCTGAGCTGTGTCCAAAAACTTGTGATGACACTGAGCGCATTCAGGTAAGGATTTTCCTTTATTGAAAAAAAAACATCAACTTTATGAGGCTCTTTAAGTTCAACGCTTCTCCGGTAACCTACTGCTTTTGATTTATTCTCACCTGTATGAACTTTGTAATGGCTCTTAAGCTGCCGTTTCTGAGTGAAGGTCTTTCCACATTTATCACAGCTGAAGGATTTCTCTTCTGAGGATGTTTAAAAAAAGAGAAAACATTTAGTAGTCGTAAAAAAAAATGCTAATTTGAACAAAGAGAATCAATGTATTACTATTAGAGATGCACCGATTGGGAAAATCGGTGCCGATGCTGATACCAATGTTTGAAATAACATTTAGCCACTGCCAATTCCGATGTTTGTTTCATGACTTCTTTTGGTGTAAGACTCCCACAGTGCAACATTTTATCATGTTTGACAATGAAGAGTTTGTTCTACAGGTGACTTCATCTGTAATAAAAAAAAAACTCTCTATGAATCAGTCGTTAGGTGTACTGGAGAAAATTGATTTGGCACACTGACATCAGCTAATGCCACATTTTTTGCCGATGTCTGTCAACAGGGTCCACGTCGACCATTTCGATGATGGATTTAAAAGATGGGGATAGGGGTAATGATCAGAATATAACATACATATAAGAACAACGACAGCATAGAAAAAACAATGATACTAAATGTATGAAAAACTTCATCTCATTCCTACTTTCATGGAGGTTCATGTGCTCTTGCAGGGAGTTTTTGGTTGAGAGCGCTTTGGAGCAGATCGTACAGACAAACGGCTTCTCTCCAGTGTGCATGCGCTGGTGAACGAGCAGAGTGTTCTTCTGGGTAAAACACTTCCCACATACCAGGCATCGAAAAGGCTTCTCTCCTGGCAAAAAAAAAAGGAAATACAGTCAAGTGTGCAGTTGTATTCAGAGAGTTAAGAGGTTCTGTATCGCCTGCAAGAAACATGTGGCCAACTTTTATCAGCCATCAGACGCTCCAACTTGTATTAGCCATTGTATTAGCACTGTATTTGAACGCTTTCTCTAGTCTTGTTAGTCTTAAAATATAGTTCACACTGGTAAGGGAGTCCTTGGCTGTAGAAATATTGTAAAGGAGGCACATTATTGAAAACTTGTGAGAATCACATTTTTAAAACATCTCTTAAATCTTAACTCTTACCTGTGTGAGTCCTTTGGTGAATCTTTAAGAAAAGAGGGTTTTTGAACACTTTGCCACACTCTTCACAAGGAGACTCTGCGATTGGGTATTTTCTCTTCCTGCCTCTCTTCCCCGGCTCTTTGTTTTCTGCCGCCTCACTTCCCACCTTGTAGCTCTCAAACTTCACCGGCGGCCTGATTTTGCGTCTGCTCTGCCGGCTCTGGTCGACCGCTGTCTTATAATCTGCATCGTCTTTCGGCCGTGACTCAGTAACCGTAACATCGCAGTCCACCTCTCTGTCCTGCTCCCCTTCGGCGTTCTCCTGTGGTTCGCGTCTCCCCTCAGGCTCCGTTACAGGTACATTTACAATCTTCCTTGGTCGTCCTCTTTTGCGTTTCAACAGATGTGGCACTTTAGGTTTGTGTCCATTCTCCCGTCTAAAAGCTGCATCAGAGCGTGTGATTTCGGTGAGCGCCTTGACAAGATCGTTGACCTTCATGAGACGAGCTGTGTCTAGAAGCTGTTCCATGGCGCCCTCCTCCACCGACACCTGAGCGCTGTAGATGAAGTCCAGAACTGCTGCAAACATCTGAGCCGCCATACCATCCAGCCTGAAGTTAGACTGACCTGAGATCTGGTCTCCTGCCGTGAACATGAGGGAGAAGAACTCGCTGCTCGCCGCCAGCAGGGCTTTGTGTGCCTTGAACTGCTTGTCTTCCACGACTAGAGTGATATCACACAATGTGTCTGTTTTCCTGAGCTTGTTGAATTTGCTCAGGATGGTCTGCTTATGTGAATCTGAATGAAGGTCCATGACAGATGGAGTCCTGGTTGTTACTTCCTCGGACATCTTTCCCTTCAAACATTCACCTCATTATCTGCAGGCAAGACTGAGAATAAGAAAATGTGAACAGTCGTCAATGTGTTGATTTGAACTTTCTAACTTAACATCCTATGAAATGCAACGTCCTTCCAGTAGGCTTTAGGGCCAGAACTAATTATTCTGATTCATCATGCAATGCTTGAATAGTGAGTGCATTATTTGGTTAGCAATGCAAGATAAATTTTCCAAAACAATTCTGATATTCTATTTTACAATTAAGCATTTTTTCTCCTCACACAAATCATATTTCTCCAGTATGTGCTACATTCAAATCAAGTGATTGCATTTATTTTGGGGTTGTCCATTAATGTACAAGTTCTGGTGAAGAAATGTTTGCTGTTTCTCTGAAGACTGTCTCTCTCCTGACAGAAACTGGGCTCTTACTGGAGCCTCAGAGGACTGATGGGCTTAAAATTGGAAGACACCAACTCCACCATGCTCACACACTGGATTCATGAACTGGTTTTGGTTATCCACAAAATTGGGGAACTTATTATTTAAAATGGAAACATGAATGGAAACTTATGTCTTCCACACATCACCTTTATAGCGTCCTTAAGATTTCCTTTCAACCACATTCAAAGTTCCCTTGTAATAATGCTTTGGGCTCAGAACCTTGTAGTGATGAAAACAAACGTGAGGGTTAGCACGCATGCTAACTTGCATCGTCTCAAACAATGCAAACGCTGCAAGCTCAAATGAGGCCACGGCGAGCAGTAATATCACAGACAATCTGTCAAAATGTAATGAATTTCAGTGATACTTGTGTGTCGTAAAAGGACCCGAGTGGTTAAAGTTTACACGTCAAACCGTGGCGTAATTTCCAAATAGTGAGCTTTGAGGACCTTACCTTCTACCGTCGCTGGACGGGGACGTAAATATGCAGGAACTTATCGCGAGAGTTTGGTTTCTGACGAGATCCACGCAGTTGATGTATAAGCGCTGTGGATCGCCCGACATCCTTTGAAGCCACGCTAGCAGTATACATCCACATGCTTTACAGATCAACTGTTGACTTCGTGAAACAGACATTAAAGGATCTTTTTTTCTTTTTTTAAAAAAATTCTTATCCTGAGGGATTTGCGGAAATGAACAGCAATCTAAAAACAAATAACCTGTGCAGGTGAGCAAACTTGCTGAAATATTTATTCATTTATTAGTTGTACTTTCTGGGAAGACTGCTTCGAGGACTTGCAAGTTCTGTTATGACACAAGAAACAACAATTTACTGACGGATCCGTGCTGTGGCAGAAGTGTTGGGAGGTGTCTAAGTACGTTTATTACTTATTTTAAACCGCAAGACGTAACTTTAAAGATATCATACTGGATTAAAGTTTTTAAATTTGCACTGTTCTGTCTGTGCTTTCTTAAAGTTTCATCTAATTGCCTTTACTTGCATTACATAATCAGTGGCGGTTCTAGACCACTTTCACTGAGGGGGCCAAACTGGGGCCGCTTTTAAAAAATATACATCATGCCAAATAATAACACACATCATTTAATACCATGATTTATATTTGTTTCAGTAACAGTATTCAATATATTGTGAGTCCGGTTGTTGAGTCAAATATTATGTATGTGTTATGAGGGGGGGCTCTTCCTTTTGGAGGGGTGGCCACAGGGGGTAACCAAGCTCAGGGTTACAGGGGCACTGGCCCCCGTTGGCCCCTGCCTAGAACCGCCCATGTACATATTAGTGTCTAGATCCTGGTTGCACCATGAATAAAAGTGCACTCAGTGCCAATAAACTGATTTACTATCTACGCACAGGAACGAGTTCTTAGATGTCGTTCACTCCATAAATCTCAAAATAACGAGTTTTGTGGAAATGTTTGATCACGTCTTTCCTTCAGTAAGAAAGGAGAGAATAATATATCCCTGTGTTGTGTGACACAGTTTACAAGGTCTGTTGTATAACCCATTATCACAGGCGGAAATAGTGCTTTATGCGATTGATCCTTGGACAGTCAGTTAAGGTGAAAATATCGCTGTAGGTTAGTCACTGATTATACTTTAAGATTAAAGGTTGTCCAACAGCATTCAGGCAGCATTTGACAAAACTCTCTCCCTTCTGTTTACCTGTGTCTGTCTGAAACGCAGGCTGGTTAAGGATGAAACATGTCAGGGTTGCGGTGGTGGGAGCAGGTGTGGTCGGCCTCTCAACAGCTGTCTGCATCGCTGAGGCTCTTCCTCACTGCTCAGTCACCCTGCTGGCTGAGAAGTTCAGTCCAGACACCACCAGTGATGGAGCTGCTGGGATCCTGTGGCCTGTAACGCTTCCGGGTATGCGATGCAACTATTGCTGTCTTTAAGAAACAGCCTCAAACCACAACTTGTTTCAAATGTTGTGCAGAGGATGATTTTGCTGGGGTGAAAATGCTTTCAAATGCAATTATTTTTAGCCCATTAACCATTTGTTTTGCATGTATATAATGATAGACTTTACTGTATTTCTCTTTCAGATATTCCCTTGGAAAGACAAAGAAGCTGGCTCAAGGACAGCTTTGATCACCTGTTGGCCATTGCCCAATCACAACACTCTCCGGAAGCAGGAGTCATGCTCAGCTCTGGGTAACAACTGTTACACTGTTATATAAAGGGTCAAACATACAGCCAGTCACTTTTATAAAAGATGTCTTTTTGTTTGTGATTTTCTCTCTAGCTGGACAATTTTCAAGGAAGTTCCAGCCAATAAAAAGCCTCATTTTTCAGACCTTGTGATCGGCTTCCGTAACATGACTGATAATGAAATGAAAAGGTTTCCAGACCATAAGTTTGGCCATGCGTTCACCACACTAAAGTGTGAATGTTCGAGCTACCTGCTGTGGCTTGAGAAAAGGTTAGTCCTCTGTTTATAAATCAGTCATGACATGTCATTTATAATTTTCCCACCAAGCTTGAATTTATGCTTTGTTACTACCGAGTTAACAGTGAATGGAGAAATTCAAGATTCATTTATGTTTTCAGATTCAGAAAAGCCGGGGGTCAGGTTGAAAAGAGGAAGGTCAACAGTCTTCAGGAGCTGAGCAACAGCTATGATATCATTGTAAACTGCTCTGGTCTGGGCTCTAAAACGCTGGTGGGTGACTCTGAAGTTTACCCGGTCAGAGGCCAGGTCCTCAAGGTGGAGGCCCCCTGGCTGAAGCACTTCATCAGAGACGGCGATGGAAAAACCTACATCTACCCCGGCATACACTCCGTCACCATAGGTGGCACGAGGCAGGAGGATGACTGGAGACTAGAGGTGGACAAAGGAGACACACAGGGCATCCTGGAGCGCTGCAGCCAGCTGGAGCCGTCGCTCAGCAAAGCGAAAGTCCTCAGTGAGTGGGTGGGACTGAGGCCGAGCAGGAAGTGTCCGAGGGTGGAGAGGGAGGTGGTGCGCCTGCAGGGTCGCAGCGTGCCTGTGGTGCACAACTATGGCCACGGAGCCTGGGGAGTCACCCTCGCCTGGGGAACCGCCCAAGATGCACTGGGGCTGGTCCGCAATGCCTCCATGAAATGAAGCTACAGGCCAAACTGTGAAAATCTGAAATCCTTTTACTGTACGAAGAGAACACTTTAATGGTAAGGCACACTGGGGATGTATAATACAGTTAGACACAAAATCAAGACTCAGTGAAAATATCTGAAGAATTTACATTTGATTCGATCATTTTTGCACAATGTATATAAAGACATTGTTCATGTAGGTAAAATGAACTTAACAGTGTGGTGTAGACACAGAGGGACTGCTTATGTAATGTAAATACTGTTTTCTAATTTCTATTAGCAGCCAATAACAGATGCTTAACATAGATTTGCTGTCAGAGATAAACTGAATAGAAACACATAAAACACTTTGGATGTGAGTGATCACCAGCCTGTGAGAGTATGTATATAATGAACATAGAAAATGAAAGCTTTATTAATGTAATTAAAGAGCAAGAAAGTATTTTACATCATTTACTGACATGAAACTTCTAGAGATCAACATCGTGCACATGTAAGAAATCGCTTGCTGCAACTATTACTAAATGTTTGTCACTTCACTGAAAGATTGTTTAAAAAAAAAGTGCAAAATAAACTTCTGAGAACTGCTGACAGTGTTCTGTGTCATCGACATCATCACATCTAGTATTTCCAGTGCTTCATCATAGGGTTCTCTGATACAAGAATTTTAAACTACATATTTTAAAAGACATGATACTAGTGAAAATCAAATCTTACTGATGCCTCTTTTATTACCATGGCAACAAAAATAGAAGTTTTATGCACCCAACAATTGGTAAATCTGTGTTTTCAATTATCAAAAATGCAGGCAACCTCCAGCACCCCCTCTAAAATGTTTCATTACTGTAACAATGTTACAATGTTTTTGTAAAATTTAGACAATTCTCTCTCTAGGTTTAAGAGCTTCAGTACTTTTGATTTTATTGAGCATTGCAATGATAGTTATCATTTAAATGAATATCAAACATTTCCAACTGCTATCAATACTTCTAGTTTGAAAAAAACTGATGACAACAATATTTTAGACTTATCATATCATGAAAAGTATGTGTGTTACTTTTTACATCAACCATGTCTGTGTTTGATTCAAATGACCAAGTAACAAGCTTACATTATGAACAGCCTCGTTGGCTCTGAAGAGGCCACGCTGCTGTTGAACGGTCTGGTGTGCAGTGAGATTAAAAAACACTTTTCTGTATGTTTCTACTCAAAACTGATAACTAGAATGACATAGCTACATTTACATTCAGGCTATTGTTGGAACGTTTACAACACAGAGAGTAATCAAACAGTTTTTCACTTCAAAAAATAATTCAAATCACACTTATAACAAAACAATTGATTTTAAGAAATGGATGGTTATTTTAAAATGAGAAGTTACAGTTCAATAAAAGCTCTATAAACAAATAAGGTTTTGAAGCCGCAGCAGCCTCCATACACTTCTGTGAACTGACAGTGCACTGCTCGTTAATGTCTACATCCTGCACCTAGAATCTTTCCTCCATCTTCTTGTTCCTCAGTATTTTCAGTCTGCGGGCTTCAGAAGTGGCAGACATTGAACAACTCCTCTTGTCCTCTGACACCATGTGGTTTGTGAAGATGTCCATGAAGGCAGCCTGTGTTATGTGGGTCTCTGTGTGTGGGTTTGGTGAGGAAGGTGTAGTTATAGGATGATTTGAGCTTCCTGCTGGGACTGTGGGTGGCAGCTTAAGGTGTGTGCTCTGTGTTGTTTTTGCTTGTTTAGGTGAAGAATCATTTTCTGCGTCTGTGTTCAAAGTGCTGCCCTCAGTGATAAATGATGCTGCTGGAGGCAGGAATTCAATCTGTTTTTGAGGATTGACTTTGTGCTGTATGCTCGGCCTGACGCTGTGGGTCAGATTCCAGTATCTGGGGTGGATGGTCAGTGAGAAGCTCCGCCTCAGCGGCTCTGGTGATGGGAGTCTTCTCAGCTCCATGCAGCTCTGGCTCCTGCCAATGTCTCCTCTGGGAAGATGACCTTTAGGTGGGCTCAGGAGGCTTAAGCTGCTCTTAGGGGGTCTTGGTGGTGGCGAGTCACAAGGTGGACATGCTGGTTTACTTTGGAGTGAAGTCTTATGAGAGCAGGTGGAGGTAAGGGTTTTTTGGGGGGCGGGGTTCTCTGGGGATGGGAGGTTGCTTGACTCAAAACCGGAGGAGGACCTGCTCATGGAGGAAGATGTCTTTTTGTCCCGTCCTGAAATAAACAAATGAAGTGTGTGCAGATGATGTGCTTGACTTGAACAGAACTTTTTAACAGCTGAGAATTTGAAAACGTGTGGCGCTTGTGAAAGGATGGCCAAGAGTTCAGAGCTAAAAATCTACATGTGCGCCAGAAAATGAATGATGCATGAAAGAAAAGAAGGAAGCAGTCGAATCAGGTCAAGCATGGAGCAGTTTATTCCTCACGCTCAACCGTAACAGAAGCACACTTCAGAAAATGCTGAGACTTCAGACCCTGCCTCAAACGTGTTAAAGGTTGTCCTAAGTCTGCATTTGAGTGCATTTACATTTATACAAAATGCCATTTTAACAAGTATACCATGAAGTAAATATTTTAATTCTTCAGCTGCTTGCAGTTTTAGGCACATGATAAAATATTGTGCAATGTTATATTTTAATGGACTAAAAAAATATACACAAAAACAGCAAAATCTGGAGAGAAATACACACTTTACAAGTGTGGCTGTCAGAGCTCTAAGCACATGATGTTGCAACATTCACAAGAACCTCTTTTACAGTTAGCACGACCACGCATTAGAACAGTTTTTAGACTGAAGCCTGAACACAATAAGCATGATTTAGCTATGTATACAGCACGCATTCACAGTAAATGCAATAACTGAGAGCTTTTTCAAACTATTTATACTGTTTCACACGTACGTTCACCACTTTCAGTAAATGCAAAAACCACCACACAGCTCAGCTCACAGCTGAAGATCTATTTGTGAGTAGACCATCGAGCTGCTCCACATAAGCTGCGCTCACAGCTGTCTAAAATGTTGAATGAGGTCAGTGCTCAGTTTCACATGATGCAAGAACTACTGTTTGCCCATTCGGAATATTATATAGAAAACACAACGCTCGCAAAAGAAAGGCAAGTAATGTCAATTCTCAAAAGCACCAAAGAGACAAAAAAAATGACTCACTGCTTGATTCGATGATGCAGAAACATAAAGTAAGACATACAGAAGAGTTAGATGCTAATGGGAAAATAGCAGAGCACCAGAAGAGAGTGAAGATAAAAAAGTATTTCCAGAAGATCATGAGAAGTGAATACGTTGGCTTGTAATGCTCAAGCGCTGACAAGGACTGAAAAACCAGGCGAGTCTGTCTAGTGAAGGATGAGGCAGAAGAGGAGCAGAGTGTTCACAGGCGACTCAGGCTGTCATTACCGTTCTCCAGGTTCTCGTTACTCTCGTAGCAGCCGGAGTCCCGAGGGGAGTCTCCCACGAGGCCACGCCGGTCCAGGAGCAGCTTCTCCTGGGAGCCTCCAGACTGACTGCTGCGCTCCAGGTCGCTGCTTCCTGCAATGCACAACACCACCAACAGGGGGCATACAGATTTTTGCATTTATTTATTCATATTTATGGGATGTTAATGTTTTATATAAGGGTTTAAACATTAAAAGGAATGTGATTTAAATGTTCTTATATGGGACTTTTTTTAAAGATGATTTGTTTCTGAAGGATTCACACTTATATCACTCTTTTATTTGAACTTTGTAAATAAAATAATTGAATTGAAGTGTCTCTGCATGTATATTTATGAATCTGAAGTGCTGTATAGGTGTGGACTCTGGTGAGATATAACCCCAGCTGATTACCTGAGCCACCGTCGTACTCTTGCAGCAGCTCCACGGCAGTGAGCAGCACGGCTCTGTGCTGGGGGTCTCTGATGTTCAGCTCATCCAGGTCTTCTTCCTCTAACAGTTTGAATGTGTCCAGGTCCTCGTAGCCGTTAAAAAGGAAAGTGGGAAGATGCTCCTGAGGAGAGGAGAGGAAATGAAATGATTCACAAAGAGATCAGCAAAAATCTTCAAAGGGAAATAATTTGATCATGCAACACTTTGGATAGTTCAAAACTCCTTTAAAAGTATTTTCAATTGAGAAGTTTTCTTACTCTTTTTACTCTGCTAATCTTTCACAACAAATATTGTCAGATCTATAAATATTGTCAAAGAACACTTTGGAAGATACATTAACTTGCTTCTGTGCTGAGATTAAGAGATACAAATCAATACATCTTGCATGTGTAGAGACATGACCAAAGAGCAGGCAGATTACTAACAAGGCTAACTGTTTCCCTAATCTCCAGTCTTGATTAAAGCTAACTTGTTTTAGCTTTTTATTCAGTATATAAACTTGAGTGGTACAAACTCTTAGCAAGAAATTGATTGTAGATACTGTATTTAAAATAAAAGGACACATTTTATCACATCACTCATTGGTTGAGATTTTTTTTTCTAAAAACCATGTAAAGTCTCTCCTGCAGTGTTGTTGTTTACAAAGCTCAAGGTTACGCCTTTGATTCCGTAGCATTTAATCCTCCAATTGAGTGTGACAGATATTGTTAATATACTGAGTTCATACTTTGAGGTTGATGCGATCGAGGAGCTCCTCTACAGAGGTGGGTTTGGGTTGCCGGGCCTTCCTCCTCCTGCGCGTCTTTTTGGGCTTCACCTCCTCTTCATTCAGGACATCCACATATATAAACTTAAAGGTGCCCACTTTCCCATTGAGCATCCCCATCCATGTACCCATCGGAGGCTTACTGATGACATCAATGACGTCCCCACTCTGCAAGAGAAAGGATGGCTGAGCTTTAGTTCCTCAGGAGAGATCTGCTCATCTCTGTGTATTTTTTTTTTTTTTTTTTTTTTAACTGGATGGATAAGGTGGTCATACCTTCAGTTTGAGGGAGTCTGTGTCGTAGGGGCTGGGGGTGAAGTCGGTATGAACGAGAGCGCGTCCACAGAAGGGTCCGCGGTAAGGCAGCTCATCCTCCTCCCCGTCCTCAGACTTCACGCTCTCTCTGTTGCTGTTGGAGGAGTCAGTGGTGCCCACAGTCTGACCACCTACACAAACCACCAAAAGACAAACAAGACACTTCAGTCAGAGTAGAAGAGATGTGCGAAAATATTTTTCAAATGATCACAGAACCATGCAGTCTTCATGTGCCAGATGCAGAACAAACTTCAGTGCAGACAAAAACAATACAACCTCAAAGTTTAGACTATTACCAAGAATATTTAATGTCCTTGAAACACTTTCCTGAAAAACACCACACATCTGGTGTTTCAAGGCCAAGTTCAAACAAACACAGAGATATTTACAAGGACACCGAGCTCGGTCTCATGCACACTGTAAACACGGACTCACTCATGGAGCTTTGTCCGCTGAGGGAACTCCTCAGGCTTTCCACAGATCCTCCAAGCTTCAGTTTGGGTTTCTCTAAAGAGTCCGAGTCTTTGTGAGGCGAGTGAGGGCAGCTAGATATGCGGTCTGGGCTTGACTGGGACATAGAGAACAAAGGAATCATTGCCTGTGCTTCACAACAATATCTACTGTATAA